GGTTTTTAAAAATATATATTACATTTATTTAAAAAGTTATGTGTGTATTCCTTAAATTATTTAATTAGAGATAATATTATCGCAAAAATCAAGTTTCCAAATTTAAAAAAAATTTAAATATGAATTGTACAGTTGTATAGTTATAAGCGATTTGTATGTGTTTCTATTAGCAAGCCACAATCTAACCAATAATCTGTTTCTACTAATGGACGATCTGTTTTTATGTAAGAGTCCAATTAACGTGTGAATTACTTTTTGCCAGTCAATTTTTCCCTCGCTTTTGACATCATGTGTGCAGTTGATTGTATCGTGATTAGTGATTAATAATTTATGAAAATTTATAATCAATCAGTCAATATATCAATATTCTTCAGCAATCAGACTTATCGTGCATTTTGTTTTTAACCAATTAACATACACGCGAATCACTTTTCCTCATCAAAAAAATTTTATTAAACTTGCTAGTGTTAAATCTGCAAAAAGAGTAATGTGTGTGATTATCTAGTATTTTAGTTCGGTGATGAAAAGCAATATACTCGATGATGCAATCTTTGCAGTACAAAGAGCATGTTGTGGCCAATCCGCGGCGAGTCAGACGTCTCGCGCTAAACGTAAAGTCAGTGAGCTTCGTTCGCTGGCAGTACCTAGAGCAGATGAGCGCTAATTGGTGTTAATTGGTGGCTCGCTCGAGGGCCGGCTTTCCCACGCCCGCGACTTTCGTGCTCGCCTTTTTTTTTCTTACACCTCGTATATATATTCTAATGCGACTGGTCGACCCGGCCGTCGCGTTCGCTTCCCCGTGAAAAGGACGTTCTTTGTGCTCGAAACGTCGTGGACGCTTCCTTTGTCGCGCCGCTCTTATTCCTTCACGACGAGTTTCGTCACAATTGAGACGTAAATGGTTTAAGGTTAAGGTCGGAGGAAGTGTCTAATATCAGAGTCTAAGTGTCAGATTTTTCGGGCTTGATAGGTTTCCAACTGATACGATAAGCATCGTCATTGTCATTGCCTATAAATCTTATTGACTCATAGCACAACATACATAGCCACAAGCTATACAACATTCAAAGGAACAGTGAACAACCGAAATATATAAACGAAATTTACTTAAATTTCATATATAAAATTACTTTATGTAAAATTTTCTAAAAAAATTGGAAAAAAGCAATTATGAATCAAGCATGATTTTCTTGTTTCTGATTATTCCTCGATTATACAAAATGAATTTAAAATGCTCTGCTGTACCTGTTCAGAATTACCGTATGCACAGGCAGTCCTAAAACAAAGGAACAAATACGCATGGTGTGCCAAGAGAGGAGAATCAAGAGCCGCCAAGGCGGCGCGATCGTGGATCTAGGAATTCGCGTGGGCGTTTCGCTACTCCACTCGCAGCTTTACAACCACGCGGGCGTACCTGACGAATTTCCCCTTTCACCGTTAAATACCGAGGGGGAAATTGAAAGCCGACTCAGGCGGTCGCATCCTCGAGAAGCCGACTTACGGCCGATGATCTAAGCGGCAAAGTAGCTGATGATTACACTTTTCACGAACAAGATTGATCATAATGTACAATTATAGAAAATTATGGCTAGTAAATCAAGGCGACTCGAATAAATTTGTAATAACTAAAAAATAATAATCGTTGCAATTAAAAATTAAAATTATACATATTTTAGATCTATTAAAAAACAATTATCATGCGCGATTATCTCGAGCTTAAGAAAATATAATAAATATAATGCGGAAGAAAGAGGAGCGTGGGATGTGCATACGTGCTGCTTCGCGGTCGTATGCGTCATCTCGTATTCCACGGTCGTCCAGTACGTAACATGAATTATCCTGTGTTTCTTAAATTGTGCGACGTAGAATACACGCACAATAAACCATTATTTGAATGCGTGTCGGAGCGCGTAAACACACCGAAATACTTAAGGCAGGAATTTATTATCATCGGACCTTATGGATGCGCCTGATAATTTTTCCTTTTCACAAATTTCCACGCGAATTAAATACGATACTTCAGTATCAATCAAGAATGGAATCTTTCGATATTAAAGATTATCAGTACAATTCTACCGACTTTTCAAGGGACGTGGAAGGAATCACCGCGCCGGCCAACTCGTGTAGGCGTAGGAAATTAATTAATCCAAACGGTATTCTCAAAGTCGATGCACGTCTATTTCCTCGGCAATAGTCAATTAATTAATTTCCTGTACAACCGCGGTCGGTACCATATTGATCTCTAAAATTGAGTATCCACTTTTCATGATCTAAATATTTAAAATATAATTTTTTACAACCAGGCACATGATTAAAAGTGATCGTCAACTTTTATCAACACGGAACTGTCAAAGAGATAAAACGAAGGAGATATTAGTCGATTAATTTTTTTTAATTTTTATCCTCCGTTTCGTATAAAGAAAAGTTTATATACATCTCACATACGATGAAACAACATCCTTTTAGAATTCCCGAAGCGTCTGACTTATAAACGATTTGCAGCAGTGGTCGTAGGATTTTTATTCGCGTCGCCCTACGCTCTCTCGAACCTGGGCGAACCCTTGTTGGCGGTCGGGTTGGTCCGGAATTCGTCCGCAATCTGCATGTCCGTCGTATTAGAGCATCACTCTGCGCGGCGGCGCAGGCGATTTAAGGCGAGTCTAAAAGAGATCGAAGGAAGCGAGCGGACACGTGAAGCACGTAGAATCCCGCTGCGAGGCTATCTGGCCGTTTGCCTGTCTACCTGCCTCCTCGCCTGCCCGTCTGCCTACCTCGTCCGTCAGTCTATCGAGCCTATGACTTACGTATATACACGCAGGGCATACGCACGCTCGTGTGCGTGTGCGTGTGTGCTCGTTGGTAGGCTCGCGGGCTGGCAACCAAGCAGGTAGATAGGTACTTACGTACGCCGAATAGAGTGCGCCGTGTCTCCTCTCCCTATGTCAGGCGACGTGTCTTAGGTTTCGCGGAAAAAATCGAACGAGCTGTACGTGAGGACGCGTACAAAAGACGTACGGCGTACGATCGACCGAGGGTAGCAGGGGGTTCCCTCCGATTTCCCATGCGATCTCCTCCCTTCACTCGGTCGCCGCGTTAGATTTCGCGGCGCGACGCGACGCGACGCGACGCGACGCGGAGCGTTCTCACGCGTGTATCGGAGAGCTATTTTCGCCTTCCCTCATTCCGACGAGATTTACAATCGACCACGATAAGAGAAGACGAGCCCTGCAAAATTAACGCCTCATTTCTCGAATCTTACTTTAAAAAAATGGAATTTAATTGAAAACCCTATTTATGAGGCTTTCAGGATTAAGAAATATTTTAATAGATTCAATTTCAAACAGAATAGATAAATTTTTCTTGATTGAATCTTCACGTCTAATCTTCACGATAGTAAAGATTTTTCCCCAATATTAGTCTACGGAGTATTACATAACACAGATTGTCCTC